TAACAAAGGTCATGTCTCATTTACATGGAAGAAAAGTAGAGTGCATGACAGGGTAGGAGAGTTTGTTTCCTGGCAAGTCTACAGTGCAAGGCTGTGATTAAATCGAGCTGGCCAGGTAAATCCAGGTGTCTTTCATCAACACTAGGAAGTTCGGCTAAGACACCAGACAAAAAGCAATGCCTTCACAAATTAGATGGAGACCTAAAAGGTGACATGTTCTAAAACACAGCATTCTTCCCCATCATGGTACAAGTTCAAATAGTGTATTTTTTGTGGAAGAAAGGAAAGAAATTATCAGCAAATATCAAATACCACTAATAGCAATAAATAAATTCACCAAAATTTTCAATGTCTTACATATGATTGCAAAGAACCCATGTGGCAAAGGCAAAATTGGAGCAGAAAATGTCATCACTATGATGCAATTCTGCTGCAGACATGGAGGAAACTTTCCATTCTTACCATCCTTTTTCCTCACAGGAGAGAATCTGGGACTGGGATAGGGCTTGGACACTGTCAAACCTCATTCCAGTGTCTCTCTGGATAAATGTGTTTATGTGTTCCTGCTGATGGGAGGGGAAGCTCATCTGCTACTGATTTTTGTCCATCATCCTTCATTCTTGGGCTCTGTAAGTAGCTGTTTCCCAAAGGCTCCAAAGCTCCAGATATAACAGCTGATGAAGAATTGTTTTATGTTATTTTAGATTTCAAAACTCTGCACTCTTTATTAAGAACAAACCCAAGATGCTGTGGTGGTTTTTGTAATATAAACACATACTAGTGAACTGGGAATCCTTTCCTGTTCTCATCTACACTGATCATTTTCCCCTGGCATTCCTATTTCAACTGATCAGCTTTTCTCAATATCAACAAAACTTTTAAATGGAAAAATTTTAAATGGAGAATCTCAAGTTGGAAGGGATCCATAAGGATCACAAGGTTCAAGTCCCTGTTCCTCATAGAACTACCTAAAACTAAATTATATGGCTACCATTTGGTTAAATACTCCGGTGAAAGATTTGTCTCTCAGGACTTCTGGGAGTGTTCTGATCCTTTGACTCAGTGACAAGACGAAAATTTTTCTCTGACAACAAGCAGACAGGCACCTAATGGAATAGAGGCTGAAGTAAGTGAGAGAGTTTAGTCCTTGAAATAGCAGCAAATAGGAAGTTATTGATGCAGATCTAGCAGCTGCAACTGCAAATACAGCTCTGGTGTTTGACCAAGGGAATTTATTAAAAACAGACAGAAGAGAATGATTTAATTATCTGACACCCTGATTAGCAGCCATTTGGAAAGTGCTCAAGAAGCTGAAGAGAGTTAAAATAGGATAGTCATGCTTTGGAAAGAGACCACAGAAGATTAATTGAGGCAGGCATGGAAGGGAAAGGCTCAGAGAGTTTCACATGTTTGGTCTATGAGGTGGTGAAGGAAGAGGGCTTATGGTGGTACCCAAAAGCCACACTGCGCTGAGGATAAATTTTGTTCAGGAGACATTCACTTTTTGTGACAGGAAAAACACAAGGACACAAGGCAATGTGTGCAGGGAGAAGAGCAAGTTGTGAGAAGGGACATTTCCATCCAGAGCCATGAGGCAGCCTGTGCAAACAGGGGTGCTTTAGCAATGAAAGGATAGCTAGGGATGCCAGAGCCTTTAGTTCTACCTCCTGTGGTACAGAAACAAGAGGTGATGGTCTAGAAACAAGGTGGAGCTCAGCTCTTTCCACCTCAGAATTTCTGTGAGGGGTTCGCTCAGTCATTTGGTAAATAGGCTTGTGGCTGAATCCAGAGGTGGTTCATGGCCCTCTCACTTGCTCAGAAACCACGTGCTCAGCACAGAGGAGTTAACTGATTCCTCTTCTGGTTCATCTCCTTCACAAGGTGAGTCGAGATCAAATCAGGTGAGTGGTTGCCATGCACAGGGAAGCAGAGCAGAATGGCAAGAAAAAATGGTAAAAAATTTAAACTTCATTAAATGAATAGAGAAATGCATTTAGTAACAGAGAAGGTACAGGTAGTGTGGATGGATAATTGTAAGCATGTTTAGACAGCTCTGTGATCAAAGAAGCATAAGCTTAGAAATGACCACCAGGCATTTCTTTCTGTTCAGTATTTCTCTCTCTTTTTTTTTTTTTTTTTTTTTTTTTTTTTTTTTGGCAGTCTTAAAGCAATCTAGACAATGGATAGCCAAAACCAACTCATCATTTCCATGCAGTGATAAGGCAAGCTTGATGAGTATCATGCACTCTGCCAATGTGGAGAAGAAGTATAAGAATGGAAGTCCCAGTAGCACCAAATACTAACTGTTGCACAGGGAAGATGGGGTCACAGTTGTGGCCATATTTGTGCAGGGAGAAAAATAAACTTATATTATTAGGATGTCTTAGATCAGAGTGTGAAATCCCTGTAGGTGCTTGAAGCAAGGACTCAGCTGGGAATTAGACTGAAGCGACTAAAACATGGATTACTTTCTTAGGAAATTATCTACTTTCACTGTCACTGCTAGTGCTGAGGTACACTGAGGTATCACAGCCTAAATCTACCCCAGCAGTACCTTCTAAAATACCACTAAAATTTGCATTACAGGAAACTTGCAGCAAAGGAATGTTTTATCAGAGTAAATGAGAACATGACATGAAATGTAATTAATTAGGCAAATATAATGTAAATGTAGGAAAGAATGAAAGGATGAGCAAATTTTCAGATGGCTGCTGGTCCACAGTTTCAATTTACATCATGCAGGTGAAGAGCCTTTTCCCTGCACTCACAGCTGGCCCTTACAAAACACAGACCTGTAGAAGCACAGATCTTTCCATTGGCTACAAAGGCAAATATAGTATTTCACTATTTTTTCTACGCATTACCAATCTTCCTCCCTTCCTGCCTACCAGAGGTTATAGAGCAAATTTAATTTTTCTGCTGTGCCTTTACCTGTAAATAAAGCCGGGCTAGGGTGTGGTTTCATGTGTTGTCCTCTGATCATAACCCTGGGGGATGGTTAGATGCTCCCTTGTACCATTTTGGACCAGCCAACATTCTCCCACCTACACCTAACCACGACTCAGGTACATCCAATAACCATTCCCTGTACAGATTTTGACTGCAGTCTCACGATTTAAGGATGGAGAGGAAGATTTGCCGTGCAGATGAGAACAACACACTTTCACCTGTTCCAGCAAATGTGATCTCAGTATTGAATTTTTTAGTAGCTTAAAGGAAGACTATGAATAAGATTCCGTCTTCCTGAATATACTTCTTCCTCTTGCTGTAAAGGAAGCCTTTAAAGGCTGTAAGGATAAGCATCTGCCACCAATCCATTCTCACTGAGACGTTGCAGCGGAGGTCCTCTCTAACCCATCATTACTAGAGTGTGACCATAGTTTAATCCTGTTTGTATTAACAGGAATCTCCAGAAACATAGTTCTCAGCACCTCTTGGCACATGATGGGTGGAATGCAAAGCAAAATATCTTTGCATCTTACAAAGGGCCATTGAGGAAACACCAGGCTGGAGAGCATCAGCAGCTGTTCCTCATCCCGCTCTGGTTCATCACAGAGTTGGGTGTCTGGATGCTGGCAGAAGAAAAGGGAACAATAAAAAGTGATCTCTGCCATATTACTAGGTCTGTTAATACCACTGCCAGCCCACTCCCACAGAGGGACAAAAGCCCCTGTTACCTTTCCAGGGCAGTTCTTTCCTTGCCAAGGACTGGAATTATCTAAGTGATATGAGCAGCTTTACTTTGATAGTAGTGTGAAATAAAGGAAGAAGATAGCTTTAATACTCCTTGTTTAAGTTCTTGTAGGCAGAAATCTTGCCTATCTCTGTATTTTACAGGCATATGAATTGGTCAAATGATAAGCACCACATTGAGTAGAGCAGAAAAAATCAGATTAGAGTCTTTCAAAAAAAGAACAAAATGCCCATCCTTTATAAGATGTCTATAAAAAGGTTAAATAGCCAGAAAAAACAGTTTGCAGATAAAACCCTCATGCATTGGCCATAGAATAACCAGGCACATGACTGCTATTACATCTTCAAATCCTATTGAAAGATGTAAGATAGGTTTTCTGTAACATTTGGCTCCATTCATACACTGAGCAGTCTTTCTCGTAGCTTAGTTCTTATTGATACCTGATTAATAGTATGAACATGTGCTTCAATAGCACAAAACCTTTGAGGATCACTTCATGTATTGTGCTAATTATTACACTTTTGTCTCAAAATCCTAAAAGAGCATAAGAAAGTAAATCCTGGTACCCTCTGCTTCACTTTGTGAATCACTCTGACCTGCCTTTCTCTGCCTACATGTTTGTAGTTTAAGTGGGAGTCTAAGAGGAGGGCAACCCAGTGGCTCAGTTTAGTGGCTCTGTGTGTGTGCTACAGATAGGATTTCCATTCCTTCTGTCTGGTTTCCTGGCTTGGCAAAGGAAAGCAGTGTTGGATCTCCTGGATGAGTGGAGAAGAGAATATCTCAACTCTCAGCATCAATCTCCCTAGTTAATGAATTATTTATGCTGAAAGGAATATTATAATCTCTACCAATGCCAAAATGAGAGTGGCTACAGGGAAAGGACCTGAGAAAGTGTACCAGATGTAAACAGAAGGGAAATACAGAGTATCTTCACTGCTAAAAACAGGAGTACAATAATACTTTTCATTAATACTGAGAAACACTCTACTTCTCACTCTGTCTTTGCACACCATGTTCTCTTGAAGGAAAAAAATGATGTTACACTGCAGGCATGCTGCTTGTGCCTACTTGTCTCTTTTATGTGGGAAGAGGCATAAATGTATACAGGCATTTCCTACAGGTTTTGCAGGCAGGAGGGGCTCTTTAATAGCATGGCAGTCACTTTTTCAGCCTCTGTCTGCGTGTGTATACGTGTCTGCAAGTCACAGAGAGGGACACAGAGAGCAAGCTGTGCGGCTGAATTTAGAAAGTTATAGATGTTCTCATCAGCCCCATGTAATGCAGAAGAGATTCCTTCCAAAAGCCAAGGGAGCAGAAGCTGCAGACAACAGATGTGAAGGGTTTCCCATAACTGTCAATTTTCAAAATGTTTGCATTGAAAAGAGAGGAGGTGCTATTTTGATTGATATTTCAGCTGCAGTATATAAAGCAGAGGAATTCTTCTTACCCTCTGCTTGTCACACTGATCTCACACACTCTCCGCTGGACTTGGGGCTACTACTTGCTGCATCTGAAAGACTGAAACTCTCTGGGAATAAAGAATCCTTGTAACAATGCCAGAACCCACCAAGAAAGATGGTAAGCATGACAAAAAATTACCTGAGAGTTTCTTAATTACAGGAATGATGAGTGTGTGCACACACAAAACCCCTTTTAGACCATCTTGCAGATATCAGCCACAGATCATATTAGGAACAATAGCCACGTAACATCACAAAATCTTTAGAGATCTCTGGTCTTTTTAGACTAAGAAACAACTTTCAGGCAGGGCTATAGCACAAACTTTTTTAGACAAAAAACTATGACTTTGAATGGATATTGAGAAGTTACTTGATTGAGCAAATGCTGTATTCATATTTTAGACTACAGGATTTCTGTAGTGCAATTTGTGGTTTCACCCTTCTAAGCTATCTATTCTCTGAAAAAGAGAGAAAAAACATTTCTTAAGATTTAAAGAGTCAGGACATTGATATGTTTTTCGTGCAGTTTTCTAATAGTCATTGAATGGGAAGGATGTGTTTGTGAAACAGTTTTATGGTTCTGGTGAATATATATTCTATACATCTAAATGCATAAGTGAAGAATGTAGTAAGTTATTCTGTACATGTCTAACTGGAATAATGCATTTTGCCACACTGCAGAAATTTTTATTTTATGTTTCAGAAGGATAGTTACAGTCAGTAATATTGGCCCCTTCTGTGGTACTATTAAGTTCATAGCAAAGAAACTGAGTATGTAGTCCGCTACTGAGAGACTGAATTGTCTGTTGGAGACTGAGAAAAAAGATGAAAAATATTGACTGTCTATTGTTTAATTATTTATTTAAAAGCTAATACTGATTTTTCTGCCATTTGAAAATTTAAGCTAAGTAAGCATCTTCTATTTATAATATTTCTGTAGCTCTTTTTGTGTATTTCTTTCAAATCTGTAAGTTTTGGTAAGAATTTTTGGTGATTATTTTTTGACATTGACTATATAAAGAGCTCTTGCAGAGCCATAATATGCAGACTGTATGTGCTTCTCAAATATTGGTGAATGAAAGCTATACACACAGCTTCCCTAATGCATTTCCAAATGCAAAACTGAATTTAATCTTTAAGGTAATATTTAAGGTATGGAAAGTATAGAAGTCATTATATAAGCATTTATTTTCCATCAGTCCTGAAAGATCTTCCAGGCTCATGTGTGTAGCTTGAATAGGTTTGTTTTACTTAACACTGACTTATCAGTAGTATTGGCTTTTAACAAGTTTATGAACATTTTACAAGATTTTTTTTGAAATATTTACTGGCTTTGTGGAAGGCAAGAGCAGAGTAACTGTCAGGAACATTACTCATTTTTGGCACTTTCTTCAGCTGGGGACACCTGAAAACTAAACTTTTTTGACCAACTGGGTCTTAAGTAAGCAGTATTGACCAAAGTGATCACTTTACTTACTGGCCCTCCTCAGTGCTCGAGGACAATGATAGATGAAGTATCCTTCTGAAAATAGTTACACCAAGTGCACGTATTAATACAAGAGCCTAATCCTCCGTATCAAACCTAGAGCCAAGCCCCTTCTAGAGTGTCTTATTTGTAATTCAAATTATTTACACATGTATTAAGTGTCCCTTTTATTTGATCTGTTATTTGACTGGGTATTATACACTTTAATCAGAATGCATTCTGTGCCTGTCAACTCAAAAGAAAACCCAACCCTAAAATATTTATGCACTTTCAAAAGATATGTGCTTTGAAGAAAATTAGCTTGGAGGCTCATGTTTCTTATTTTGTTTAAAATTAGATTGTTTCAAAGATATTCTTACAGTGCAGTGTTTACTAATGCAGCTTCATGTTTGTGTTACAAAATAAGTTTAGCAACTCTGAACATCATTATATTGACAGTGGAACAAATGTGATATTTAATGAGTCAATATTCAGGACCTAAAAATTATTGAAGCATTCTGCCTTAACAGAATTCACAAGGAGTAGCGAGCTCTGGAGAAGTGATAGGATTGGGTTGTACACTGGTTGTTCCTTATTGCACCCAGTTTCTTTGCAGCCAGGAGGTCAGGGGGGTAGCAGGTTTATATTATTGTACTGCAGGGATTAGCTACTTTCCAAAGATTTTTTTGTTGATCAAGAACTCCCCTGAGCTGTTGAAAAATACTTGTATTGTAACTGTGAGTACCTACTATGTTAGTGGCAGGAGAATTTGCTACCAATGATAGTACAATACTGCTACTCATACACGCTCTACTCATACCAGCTCTACCAGTAAAAATTCAGAACCTCACATGATCATCAAAGGCCTGTTCTCATAGTAATTTCCAAAGCATCAAGGGTTGAAGAAAATTAATCCATAAAGATGAACCTTGGACTAACTGATTCTGGAAATTACCACGGGAAGGACTGTCTGAGAAACTGTCGGTGAGCTTGTTGAAGGACTACAATAGAAAACAGAGGTGGGGGGGAATGCTTAAGATTTCGGCATCACATGGGCACCTAAACACAGTTCTTCTGACATTTCCAACAGAAGCAAGCTGCTTGAATTTTCCTATACCCCTCATTTGCATGGATCCTGCAAATTAAAAACAGCACACACAAGCAAGTAGTTGAGAAATCAAAACCTGGCTTACACTTGAATGTTTAGAAAATCTCAGATTTGTGGGTTTTTATCACTGCAGTCCCTGAAGTACATAGCTTAATTCTTCACAGACAGTGCTGTAACAAGCTCCCAGGCTTTTTTTTCAGGCCAAATTCTCTTTGAGCTATTCTAAGATTATTAGATTAACAAAGTGAGAAAATTCCTGGCTTGGTGACAGTGTAGCCTCACAAAGCACTCTTAACAAATAGGATCACCAAATTAAATGCACCACTCAGCTTAGAGAAGGTTGCTGAAGGACCTCAGCCTGATGGAATTTGTCACTGTAGAAACAGGCTTCCATGACTAATTATTTAAGGCCTTTATGGTACTCTTAAATAGTCAAATCTTATATATAAGATCAGCTGTAGCTTCTTTGTAGTAGATGGTCACTGGTTGTAGGAAAGTTTTGTCTTATCTGGCTCAAAATATATGTGCAAAGTGAAGTTTACATCCATGGGTTAACTGATCTCAGTGGATGGCTGGGGTGTGACTGAGTTGCCAAAGGCCTTAACCAGTGCATTTAAATTTAACAGCCTTTAGCTTTCCTGGTGACTAATAAAATAACCCTCCCTCATATAATTACTTCCTACAATTTATTGCAATCACTCAGTCCGTCTTTCCTCTCCCCCCTTTCCTTTAACCAATACTCTTAATAAGAGCTGCTCATTAATTCTGTGCCCTCTTAAGCTGTCACGGGCCATGGCATTTGGACACGCTTTTGCAAAAGTGCCAAGTCTCTCAAGAGCAACCTTTTCAAACTATTTGTGGGCATCATCCCACAGAGACAGGTGTAAGTCTGTCCCCAGTAGGCAGCTCTGTAAATTTGCCTTATTTATTCTCCACAGTATAGGAAATAATGCATGGCCATGAATTAAGCGACCATGCTAAATTTTGAGCCAAAGCATTTATCGACTCTCTGTCAACTCCATTTCCTAAGTGTTTGCAAGCTCCGCTTGAATGATGCTGCCTGGAGCTTCCACATTTTGGCAAGGAATCAAAATTAAAACCAGTGTGTCTACTTTAGACAGAGTTTCAGTAAAATTTTATTCAAACTACAAACAGCATAGATGTAAAAGTTGCAAAGAAAACTACTTGCATATACTGTCTCTTAGAAGAACAATCTGTAAAATATGAAGCAATTTGTGAAAGGAGGCAAACAGACATAAATACCACTGCAGACTGCTTTGGAGATATGGTAACATTGCTCTTCATGAAGACAAACAGTGGAAACAGACTTTACTTCTATTTGCTTTTAAATAGAATTAGATTTTTTTCATTATGAGTTTTTTTTCCTATCATTATATTTGCATTATATGTACAATATTCTAAATAATACAACTGTTGGGTGTATCAAGATAACAGTCACTGTCAAACAAGTCACTTAGTCATATAAATTGTATAAGTAGATATGTAGAGCAGCATTCCAGTGAGAAAATAATCTAAGCATGATGGTTAGGAAGTAATTAAAGTCAAATTTCTTTTAATATCATATTTTCAAGATTAGACAATTTTTCATAGGTGAAAAAGAAGCTGAATGGGAATTCTGCTTCACTATACAGATTTGGATTGTGTTAAATTAAAACTACTGATGGAAATTTTTCCTGAAAATTCAAGATCCCAGCATGTGAACGTTTTTTAACATTGTTTGGTGCTTTCCATGCAGAAGACTGGACCTGTATAACCATTCTATATGGCACCACATTGGGTAGTGCAGCTGCTCTCTCCTCACTGCATGGTGATGCAAAATAAAAGCATACAGACATCCATCTTCTGCCATCATCCGTGCCCCCCTGCAGCATTGATTGTAGAATGCACTCCCATTATTTTTAACTTCCTTCATTCTCAGTCTCGGAGCCAAACCACACTCAAATTCAGGCCCCAGTGTATCATTTGCAAAGCTCGGTATTCAAATCGCAGGTAAACGAGCTTTGGTGGATGACGAAAGAGTGAAACCCTAACCCCTTATCTTATTTTCTCTCTCAATTCTTTAGAAAGTTTCTCTTCATCACCTCCAGCTAATAAATTTTAAGCCCTCCACAAACGGAAAGCAAACTTACGCCTCTGGGCTGTAATCAGATCCCTGAGGGTGGGCTGCGCTCTCACCTCACCGTGCGCCCCACGGAGCAGCTCCTCCTGCACAGACGGTGTGGTACGCTGGGAGCTGATTGTTCTTAGATTGCCTTTGCCATTGCTAACTCCTAAGTGTGGCTCCCACACTTCCTTCTGAGATACCAGAGCATCTCAGATTTATGCTTTAACCTTCCACCTCCATCGCTGCTGTTTTGATCAAAGTAATTTGACTGAAAATTCATCATGATTTATCTTTGGGCTATTATGTTTTGGTTTATTATGGCATAAATTGAAGGCACTACACTAACTTTTGTTGTTTATACAATGCATTGACTTCAATACTGCTGAAGGAGGATAATGCAAGATTGATCTGGCTTACTTG